CCTCTTTTTACCCTTCTTCTTTTCTTTTTCATCGTTTCTTTCATACGAAAACGATTTTCCCCGCTATTTCATACGTTAAAAGATAAAAAGGAGATGCTGTTCAAACTTCCTTTTCATTTCTTCCTTTTGTCTTTCTTCATTTTTCAATCAACGTTCCCGTAAACACACACAAACGTTCTAAACGTTCGTAGATTTTTCAAATTTCTACTCTCCCGCTCTGTCTCACCCTTCTGGTAGTTATAGTACTGTGTATTAGGTTGGTGCATACGGAACGACGTTTTTTGCACACTCTTCTATTTATTTGGTCCGTATTTTTGTATAGTCGGTAAAAATGAATATTTTGGTCGGTATTAAAGTACAGTTTTGTTTACTTGGTCGGTATTAATTTGTTTTTCGATCGATAAAGTTTAAATTTTTGGTTAGGTTAGGTTAGGTTATTAAACACACTGACCATCTATTTTAAATACTGACAAATACTATGTTTACTAATATTTTAATGAAAATACTGACAGTTTTTGTATCAATCGATGTAACACTGACCACTTACATTACGTACTAAACGTTTTATTTCAAATACTGATTAAAAATTTTTTAAAATACTGACCCAACAGATAGCAGCCTTTTGCAAATGAAACTTTTAGATACATTATGTTTCATCAAAAAGCAATGTATTCAACACATTAAGCACTATCATGTAAAAGAAATTATGTTGCTTTTGGACACTGTGAATTGGATGTTTCTTTTTTAAGTACACAAGGCTTCAATTAAATAGTTTCATATTTATATCGTTCATGTGTTTTTATTTTCGACAATTGTATGTTCTAAATCGGAATTTTGCGTGAACATATTTGTATCGTAAAAATTAAATCTGATATTTTAAATAATTTGCTTGCCACCAAGGTATTCTGGACAACTAAGCCACCCTAAAACCTTTGCTATTTTGTGGTGCTGGATATTGATGGAATATACGCAAAGATACACTGAATTAATATACTATATTCTTGAAATAATTACATCTGACAAAAGCGCGTTGGAAAAACCGAACAGACTTCTGAACAATTGAAACACGTTCACTGTCACACCAGATTTACATGATGCTGTCAGGCGGCCACAAGAAAATACATTTTAAGCATAGGATTATAGTATTATGCATTATAATTTTTTTTTTTTTCAATTGAAAATAATGTCTAGCTAGCTATGATGTTCAAACTTTTTAGTTGACAAGATTTATTTTATTTTAATTATTCTAAACATTTCAGGCACTCCAGTCACTGATGACCACCATGGCCATATCGAGGAAATAATCTAACGTTAAAACTTATTGAGTGATTAATTTAATTTCATAATATATCGCTTTAGCGGGCCACCGTTTGGTTGCCAATTGTTTATCACATAGAGTCGGCCTACTTCCACGTAAAAAAAAAAAAAAAATGTAGGGTCGATTCCACAAGTGTCAGTAAAATGTAGGGTCGACAGCAGCAGAAAAGCTGCTAAACAATTAGAATTAAATGTAACGATAGAAATTATTGCAATAATGCGTAATGCAATTTAGAAATTGAAAGAATCAAAAGAAAAAACGCGAATTCATATCTCTTTCGATTCTAGAATATAAGAAAATTTGAATAAAATACGCGACGATAATTGGGGAGAAGCATAAGTTAAACGCGTAAAAATATTCAATAATAAACGAACTAGGGATAAAGCTGTTATTTCAATACGCGATCCACTAACTCTAGTATTTACTAAAATTCAAAAATTCTCGCATAAATTCCGAAAATAGATTATTAATTACGGTAAACTACTGAGACAGTTTAATTTAGGGTGGGCATAGTGCACTCGTTCCAAATCAGCTCACAATATACAATAATAAATCAACTAACTACTTAACATGCAATTCATGCAAATTCCTTGGATGGTAAATTATCAATAAACAAAATAGCAAGTCATAAAATAAATTCAATATCAGAGAAAATATATGAAAAATTTCAAATTAATTTCAATTGCTCAAAGTCATTTCAATATCCTATTCGACAAGTCTGAAGAACAACGATGACTAAAATTCAAATGTTTATTTCCCTAAACCTTCAAAATAATTTCGAAATATTTTATTCGAAGCGGTATTTCGAAATATTTTATTCAAAGCGGAGTATTCCAAGTCAGTATCGAGAATTGAAGAAATTATTTGATTGTATTTAAAAGAACCGAAAGGAGAATATTTAAAGTCTGATATTAAATGTCTAGCAAGTACCAGTAATTGGTAAAATGATTTATATTTGTTTTAAAAGGAAAATTTCTAATAGGTATTAGTTAAAATGAATTGTTATTCAGTCTATTGTATTGAAATTCTAATTGATTCTAATGTATACAAGTGTTACAAGAAGGCTGAGTGTGTACAGGGTGGACATAGGCTACCTAGTAGCCCCCGACCACTCTATGAACTTTAACGTCTATACTCGAAAGTGTATCGTCAACACTAACACGTTACCCAGATTATCCAAAAATTGAAGAAGTTACTTTTAAAATTGAACATTCTACGGTGTTTCGAGAGATTTGATAATCATAGTCGAACCTTAAACGAACGTTCAAACGAAGAAAATTTTCCAAAAATCATTTCGTACGTTATTAATCGATAAAACAAAAATTCATTGTTGAAAAATAAATATTTCCTGAAAATCTTCATCTTCCATACAAGATTCAAGATTTTCCCTAATTAAGAGTAATTTCAAAAGATTATCTGTATAAGCTATTATTTCAATACGCGATGCACTGACTCTAGTATTTACTAAAATTCAAAAATTCTCGTATAAATTCCGAAAATAGATTATTAATTACGGTAAACTACTGAGACGGTTTAATTAAGGGTGGGCATGGTGCTGCTTTAGTTTGAAATGATTTATAAACACATAATTAACAGAGGAAAAACCGTGAAACGGCAAAACGTCATCCAACAATTTGTTATAACATTGCATATAGCAATTTATACATTTTTACGATACTCTTCAATGGAAACATAGGTTTTAGCGTTCTCGTTACTTACTCGTGGCTAAATTAATTTCGTAGGGATTAAAAATCAGGTTGACCTGTGGTCGTAGATTAAATATAACCATAGTACAGCTAAATTTATCGTGCTAAATAATTCTTTTTACACGAATGAAAAATGTATACAACGTTTGTTTGTTATAATATCGTGAAATGAATTATATTACACATTTTCTCTATTCACACTGAATTTAAAGATTATAACGATTAAAAATCAAGTTGACCTGTGGTCATTTATCAAGAATAATCAAAATAACGCTGAAATTATTGTGTTAAATAATTTTTTTAATACGAATTAGGAATTTATTCAACGTTTGCTTGTTACACTACCATGAAATAAATTATATCCACAATAAATTAGAATCCAAACTTATTGACACTTGAAGAGAATTTACTGTACCTTGTGCAGTTTGGTGGAGAATATCCATTAAATGCAATGCAAGTTTACCTGTGTTTCTCTGAATATCAAAAATTCCGGCAGATTTGTAAATATTATTCTGTCTCCCAACGTAAATTTAAATAAATTAGGTTGAACTGCACAGAAAACACACAGAACTGCACAAATAATTCATTTCACGATATTGTAACAAACAAACGCTGAATACATTTTTGATTCGTGTAAAATGAATTATTTAACACGATAAATTTAGCTGTACTATGGCTATTTTTAATCTAGGACCACAGGTCAACCTGATTTTTAATCCCTACAAAATTAATTTAACCACTAGTAAGTAACGAGAACGCTAAAACCTATGTTTCCATTGAAGAATATTGTAAAAACGTATAAATTGTTATACGCAATGTTATAACAAATTGTCGGAAGTATAAATTTATAACAAAATTGTGAAAATTGATAAATTATACCGTGTTACGATAACGGAAATCTCCCGCGAAAATTTCCCGCCTGACCTAACCGACGATTTTGCTAATGACTTTGGGGAGAGGGTACCGAGGGTATATAAGGATCCGCCGATGTCCCGCGAAATCATTCACCCTTTATACTGGGCCATAGACACTTCGCGGCGTATTTTGACCTGAAGGTTCTGAGATGTGAATAGAGTGGTCGGGGGCTACTAGCTAGCCTAGGTCCACCCTGTACACACTCAGCCTTCTTGTAACACTTGTATACATTAGAATCAATTAGAATTTCAATACAATAGACTGAATAACAATTCATTTTAACTAATACCTATTAGAAATTTTCCTTTTAAAACAAATAGAAGTCATTTTACCAATTACTGGTACTTGCTAGACATTTAATATCAGACTTTAAATATTCTCCTTTCGGTTCTTTTAAATACAATCAAATAATTTCTTCAATTATCGATACTGACTTGGAATACTCCGCTTCGAATAAAATATTACGAAATTATTTTGAAGGTTTAGGGAAATAAACATTTGAATTTTAGTCATCGTTCTTCTTCAGACTTGTCGAATAGGATATTGAAATGACTTTGAGAGGTTCCAAAAAAAGTTGAAAATACTGCTTCCTAAAATTAGAGAATTAATTCGACAGGTTAGCTGACAAAAAATATTATAAATTGAATTGTAGCTTGGTTTAAATCAGAAAAAAAATTTATATAAAACTCGTTGTGATTCAGCATACTAAAGTAAGAAAAAAAATTCATATATTCCCGATGTGTGACACGGAGGAAATTTCCTAAAATTCTTGGGTGGGGTATTAAACATAAATAATTCTAAAACAGGATATTAAAAGAAGTTTAAAATACTGCTTCCTAAAATTAGAGAATTGCAGTAAATTCTGTACAAGTGTCAGTCAGTTTGGATTCTACAAGTGTCAGTATAGATGGTCCTACGCCTATGTTATCCTCGCCGCGTGTGACGCTACACCACTCGGTTTCTTTTACGAGATTTCACGGCTCGACAATTCATAATAGAAAAATGTAATTTCTTTAATTTTACTTTTTTTCATCTGAAATGTTTTTTAACACGTTGGTGAAATTTTTCTGATGAAAATGATATCAAACACGATATAATTGTCTGGCGTGACAGTGAACGTGTTAATAAGTAATGTTGTTCAAATTATGTCGTGTTTTATGTCATTTTCATAGAAAAATCTCATCAATATGTTAAGAAAAATTTCGGGATAAAAAAACGTAAAATTAAAAAAGTTGGTATTTAAATCGCTTGGTTGCCTCGACTCATGTTTCATGCTTATCTTTTATTCGCTGTCCTTGTCCACGTTCGGCAAACTACAAAGGCGAGCGCGAGGCTCGAAAACGTAGTCCCTGACTTGTGGAGAATATACTGTATATGGAAAATTTGTATGTTAACGAATATATTCAGCCGAATCTGAATAAAGTACACAGTATCGGTGTATAGTATTCATTTGAATACAAGTGGCGCTTAACTTGATAATTAAAATCGGTTTCACACGATTCTATACACTTTTCTCAACGATTAACTAGTTTCATTGTTCGAAATTTATACAAATCAGTAGTCATTGAATGAAGAAATTCCTCGAGTGCTGCTTTCACAGTGCCTTCGTTTCGGAATAATTTGTTAAAAAATTGTTCAGCTGCTTGAAGAAACGATAGGATGTGACAAAATTTCATATTCTTCACCGTGGATTGTTTTCAATAATTTTTGTTAGAACGTTATCATGGGCGGTCCTATCTGGCCTTCCCCTTCGCTCATTTTCCAATAAAGTCACCCATCTTGAATTTTGCACATCAACGTTAAAGTGTCCTAAAATCTACACAACCTTCTAAATGCTAAATTTATATTTTTAGCAGTATTTCATCACGTCAGATAATAATGTCCAAACAATTGTATTATGAATGTCCAAACAATTCCTTCTTCTTGACTATTGCCTATAAAAATTTACGTTCGGACAAAATTTAATATACAGCACCCATTGGCCAATTTCAGCTGTTGAAAAAACGACATTTCACTTACACCAACCTAATACGTAGTAACTTCATCCAAGGTACGTCAATGTTTTCGAAACTGGAAAGTATCCAGCTTCGAATTTTCCTATCTGGGACGCTTGAACTTGAAATTTCTCGAGAAAAGACATAACGACTGGTGGTACGGTGAAGAAACGCGCGATTCAGCGAACTATCGACGATCACACAACGCAGCTCTGTTAATTTGGTAAACCTAACGCGTGGAGATTTCGTTACGGGACAAGTTTAGCTAAAGCAAACGGTACCGGGGGATAATTCACGGTTGTAGGCGAGATTTGACTTACATGGGAGTGCGCCAGTAGCTCCTTCATGATGAAATTGTCGTAGATCTCTTTGGCAAGTTTTCTCCTCTCTTCCGGGCATTCGAGCTTCTCGTACGCCTTGATCTACAATGCATAAATGAGAAATTCCTTATGGAGTTGGATGGCGATGCGTGCCATCACGCTAACTGGAACTTAAATAGAGTGTGTGCGGGATAACACGAACCTCCTCGTAAAACCTAAGTTGCGGAATCGGCTCCTCCGCCACATTCTCGCAGAAGTCTTTGAATAAGAGGTAACCTGTAATCACAAGACAAGAGGGAAATACAAAGCACAATTCGATAAGTCGATTTTTACCTCTGCTCGCCTTCGCAAGGCCAATACTGCTCCCGTTTCGAAATATTAACCGTTTGAGTGCTAATTTTTCGACATCGAAAAATTTCTTTCTACTTCTTATAATCTATATTTTTATAAAAATTTCAATAAAAATCCTGCACATAATTAATTTTGCCTTTGTTTTGTGTTATTTCCAAACAATTATATCCTGGAATTTTTCGTCATCAAATGAAAGAAGCGCGATCGCCCCGTTTGCCATTTTTCTGCACATTTCTGCAATAACCCATGGCACTCAAACGGTAAACACATTACCAACCGGACGAATTGAAAAGAGAAAAACTGATAAGAATTATTATGTTAGGACGATTAACCTTTTTGCTACATAATAACGAGTCAGACTCGTGTTGCAGATTTTGGTCAAGGTCTGATAGAAGCAGTTATATCAATAATAAAAATTAATCTTAATTGCAATTTTCGATTTAATTTACGAAACTGAAGATTGCCAAATTTAGTCAATCTGTAATATGCTTAGATGCATAGCTAGGAAAAGAAATCCTTCACAGGGTTAATAATGTAAAATTGAACGAATATTCGTTACGTCGACAAAAGTGTCATTCGGTGCAAATAATACAGTAGAAAGTGGTAGATCTACTATATCGGTTGGCAATGTGTTAAGTGGGTACAAACCACCCTGAGTCGTCTAAAAATAGCTAAAAGTTTGCAAATTTTCTTCATAAGTAACTATAATACTAAATAAAATGTTTCAATTTTTCTCAGAGGATATAAAGGTAACTTTCAAATTTTCTTTTTCAATTTTTACACAGTAGAAATGTTACAAAACGGCGGAATTATTGCGAAATCTCTTCTGCCAGAAGATATAATTTGTTTTATTTGTAAATAAAGATGTATTACCTATAATGTAGCGTAAGATCTTTCAAGAACTGTAATTATTACATAAATTGTGGCAGTTTGAAGAGGAAAAACTATTTTTTACCAAAAAGAAAATCAACTTTAAACGTTTTAAAAAATTAAACAATTGACATATCATTGATAATATTTCTTGTTTCAGACGTTCTAATCCTTGCAGGCGATCGATGTCCTAGCAGAAGAGGTCTCGCAATAACTCTTTCATTCTGTAACATTTCCACTGTTTAAATATTGGAGAAAAAAGCTGAAAGCTACGTTTATATCCTCTGAAAAAACTGAAACTTTTCATTCAGTAGTTGCGTATGAAAAAAATTCGCAAACTTTGACCTATTTTTAGAAGCCCCTAAGAGAAGAGTATTGACTTTCGAAGACGAACGTAATTATTTGAAATACTTTATACGTAGCGACTGGAAAAGATATTTACGTATCACTCTTTATGATCTGGAATTTGTGTATTCATCTGAAAACACGCGTATCGTCCAAAAACATCCTAATCTTAATTACAAGGAGATCAAATGCAGAACATGATGAACAGAAAGTTTCATCAAAGAGAACGAACATGCAAATATATTTCACATTCGCTGTTTCTTCTGTGAAACAGTTAGATAATCATTTACTTAGCAGGACTGATTTTACTATTTCATGAGACGTTCATGATTTTTGAAATTTGAATATATCGAATATCACACAAGAACGCAAGATATTTTTTGCATTCTTAATATCTAACTTGTTCCTTTGAATTCTAATCGCTTCGAGTGTTTTAAAAGCAAGAAAACAAACATATCCTGAAAAATTGTAACGGCATAATTGGTGAAAAAAACTCGAGAATTCGTTTTCATTTGCCGATTTCAGAGAAAAATGTTTTAAATGAAATATATTCTACCTTCTTTCCTCGAAAGCTATTAATCTCCTGCCTAAATTTAGCGTTTTTTAAAAATACGACGACTTTCTTTTTTATTTCATTTCAATTTATTCTTACTTTCAAGTAAATTCTACGTTGAAAACACGTGAAGACGTTTGGCAAGATCATTTTTATGTTATACTTATAGCTACAATTATGTAAAAATACGTGACGTCATTGTTAATATTTCTTTGTATTTATAGATTTCATAATTAAAAGTGAAAAATAAGAATAATATAAGGCTAAAACAGCTTGTTTTATCATTTCATCCAAAGTACGAGTACAGAATATTTTGATATTTTAGAAGTGTCAAGTATTTATAATTATTTTCTCTAGCTATGGCGGTATGAGAAAATTTTTATACGCAATTTGTACTCGGAGGTGATTTTGCTGTAGAAAAGGTTGCAACTCGGATCTTTGAAATTTTTTCAAACTAACGTAGAAATAAAGTGTACTATTTTATTTAAATATTCAATGGATTCTCTATTTCACTGTGATGAAGAAATTTATCGAGGCCAGTAGATCTGTTCTCTGTCTTCGTTAATTATTTACCTCAGTCGCCACTCGGCTGCAAAAGGGTTAACTGGTTCTAAAGGGTGAATAAGATGAAAGAAAATTTTTTTTCTAAATGACATATTTTTCTATTTTCTTTTCTTTCAAAATCACCTATGTTTTTTTTACACGAATGCATATTTCTTTTTCTGCTGTGTTTTGTAGCAGACATTGATGTGCATTTGAACATGCATAACAACACGAGCTTAAAATGAGCTGGGACTCTAAAATTTTAAATCCATCGACCAAATTTTTCTTCCATCTTATCCACCCTTTAAAACTATTTAAATTACTGTAGGGATGACCGAGCGTGAGTGCGTGTCTGTATGAATGCGTTGTCTGTGTGAATGCGTGAGGGTCTATGGCGTGAGCGGTAAGGACCGGCGTGCCAGGTCGAGTGTTTGGGACAGCGCGAACGAGATTGAACGAATGTTTAGTTTTAGTAATCAGGCGAGGAGTGCGTGAGTGCGTGTGTGTTTTCTTCTATGGAAAAGTGTGCATGTATGCAAGACGACATTAGGGCGAATGCGAGGGAGCGAAAGACAGTGTGAATCCAGCGATTGATTGAGCGACATCCCTAGCGTAGCGATATAAACTATTAATAAATATATTATAGTCAAAAGTCCGTTCGAGTTCACTATCCCTCCACACAAAAATCCCCTACATTACGTATAAAAATTTTCTCGTACCATCATAGCTAAAGAAAATAATTAAGTGGCTTGTTTTACGTGGCCCTCCCTGTATATTATCAGATTGAAAGTCGTTGGGCAATCTTTTTCAAGATATCAACTAAGCTTATCACAATGGCATACAAGCTTCTTGTACAAATGTTTTGTGATTACAGAAAAAGAAAAAAATTAACGGGGGAACATCTCTAATCACCGATTTTGATGACACTCTGCTATACAGGTAGTAGTTTTCAAAAGGCAATTCATGGTCCACATTTGAGGGATGAAAATCGTCCTCAAAGATGGAGGTGGTAAATATATTTAGTCTAATATCTCGAAATAGAGAAATAGTGTAAGTTGACGAATTTGTATTTTCCAGCGACAAATTTGAAAAATAAAAAATAATTTTGTGCTTTGTTAATTTGTCGTTGAAAAAAACCAGATTCGCCAACTTACATCATTCCTCTATCTCGAATAATTTTCGAGATATTATTATCCCCATTTTCCAGGGCGATTTTCATCCCTTAAATGTGGAAGATTGCCGATAAAAAAGAAGTACGTGTCAAATATATCTTTTAGTACTGCCATATATCAAAGTTTCATCAATATCGGCGATTATCACTTCAGGATGTTCCCTTGTAAGCTTCGAAGACCTTGCACAGGACCTCTAGGTTTCTTTTTATCGATAAAACGAGTGCGGTACTTGGGAATAACATTAACATTTAAAATCAAAAGAAGAAAATAAATATGCGCATATTGTAAGCCGTAAACATTAAGCAGCTATATGGTACAGAAGAATAATAAGAAATGGTAAATGCACAAGATATTTCTCCCGTGCACAAATCCATCTGCTCAAATTGCATCTGACTGATGACGCATTGAAATTATGTGACGCACTGTAGTTCACCCCTTTACACGCTGAATTAACTTTGTCTGTCCGCCGAACGAAAGTAAATGTCGCGGTAAATCGCGAAAGTCATTTGGCTTAAGAAAGTCAGTGCTTACGAAACGTCGGAATAGATTTTTCCATAAGGACACTGCTTACACCCGAAAGCCTCGATAATAATAATTATGCTCCGGGTCGTAAACGCCTTAGATCTTTGATTTGTCTCTAAAGGGCTTGACAGTAACTCACTAATTGACTGACTAATAATTCTCGATTGACTCGCTGACCAATTTACGACCAACGAGCTGAATGACCTAACTAAATTAATCGAGTCGCTGAGAATCTACATTTTTTTATACCAATTCTACCGGGGGTCGGCGGCAACGTGAACAAATTACTATTTTCTAAATTTTTCAAGTGAAATGTTGATCCATTTTCACCTAACTTTTGTGTACAGATACTCCTGGCTGAAGTAAAAAATGTGATAAATCGAAATGTCGACTTTTTGCGTAATAATAAAAAATTACTACGTTTATTGTTTACCTATACAGTGGATCTAGTTGTTCTAACGACGATTATATGTAAAAAGAACACTTATTATCCTGTGATATTATAGTAAGCTTCTATTCAGACTTCCAAAAGCATTCACAGTTTTCATCAGTGAAGTGCCATTCAACTGCCATTCTGCAAGCCCTAAAATATACACAAGGTGTTCCAGCAAGAGTAGTACAAGCGAGCAGGAGGTGATTCCTCGTGAAAAAATAAGTCGAAAATGTAGAATAAAGTTTTTGAGAATAAAGAAAACCTATTCGATGCACTTGTACTAACTATAAGTTTCGACTTGAGACGGATCTGCTTCTGCCTCTTAACATCGTTATGGATCGAAAGATACTACTGTTACAGCACGATAGTAACAATAACAGGAAACGGATAATAACATTGCTCACGTTTGTAAATACAAGCACCAGCAGAAGCAGATCCGTCAAGCTGAAACTTACAGTCAGTACAAGTGTATCGAATGGATTTTCAAAGTCGTTTGTTTTCTCGAAAACGAAGCTCCATACGCAAAAATCTTACTCTACATTTTCGACTTATTTTTTCACCAGGAATCACCTCTTACCCGTTTGTACTACTGGAACACCCTGTATAAAGAGAACAACGCACAATGAATTCATTACTCTCGCTGACACCAAAAGTGTCGCGTGTGCTTCACAAAACTCGCAGATCGATAACGCAATAAACCAGAACATCGTTGGAATGACTGCAATATTCAAATGTGCCAAAAAAGATATTCCGTATGCTTGCATCTCCTAATATTTGCATATCTGTATGCTTGCATCCCCTCTAGCCTTCCTAAAAGATATTGGACTTTACTAATAACCCCAGGAGATGCATGCGACCTTAAATTTGCAATAAAAAAAAACAGAAAAGAAAGATCCTCTTCGCGATCTTGTCGTTAAATGGTGTCAACTGAAGTCCTAGAAAAATTTCTAAAGCAGAGATTAGGTGTTTTGGTCGTTCAATTTATCGGGAACCTTAAGTTACGACGCGTACTTCTTTCGCAGTTCGCCCAAGGTTCACATGCGTACCTCAAATTTAATATTTATGCAAGGTAGTTAAGTTGAATGAGAAATAAAAAAAAAAAGGAAGCCTAAAGTTAACAAAGGGGGGATGGAGTATCAGCGCATTCGCGTATTATACGCAAATAAAGTACCGTAGAAGTATTACTGAAAAGCTAAAAATAAGATTGAAATGAAAGATGAAAGAGACGAATCGTAGCAAAAAGAAAACAGACAAAGATCATTTTATCGTGGTACGTACACATGAAAGATCGAAAAACTGAGGGTCATGTTTGTCTTAAACTGCAGCAGAAAAGGTGGCCTTGGGCAGTCAAAACTTGGATCTTCTACTTTAATGCGAATGCAAAAGTTACCTCGTCTACAAATCTACAAAGTTCTTCGATCTTCTACGAAGACAGTTTCTGTCAGATTTTGTCAATATTAGATGTTCAGAGCGTCAACAGACTTCTCTGTGACGCAACAACTGTTCTTGGATTATTATGAAATAAAAAATAACTATTGACATACAACAGCTATATTTGATTTGAACCGTTTTTATATCAAACTTAAGATAACTAGATGCTTCAGGTCATCCCATGAGTTCCTGCCAAAAGTGAAAAATATTTTAATGAAAATTCAAGGAAATTCTGTAGCGACGACATAATGATCTTACAAAAAAAAAAGAAGTTGTGAAATGAAAAGGCACTTACGTTTTTTTTTATCAAATTTAAAGGTTGAAAATATTGGTCTAATTTATAAAATTCGACACAAACTCATAGAATGATCTAATAGTTGGGTGAAAAATTTGGGAAA